AACAGACGGAGCTACTAGCAGTAGGCAGAAGGCTTGGTATTTCTGTGGGTGCAGGGGACTGGCATTCCTCTTTAAGTCACATGGAAGATGGATGGAGAGTCAGAACTAGAACTCCGGACTTGGGGGGGGGGGGCAAATAGTCCCTTATTCTAATTAAAAAACAATTCGTGTTTTTTTTTTTTTCAAAAAAATGCATTTTCAAAAAATTAAATTTCATCTTCCGTTCTCTTGTAGTAGCAGAATGTAGGTAACCCTACGAACAGTAACAGTATTTACCATCTTTCCAGTTGTGTTATTTCCCGTAGAGACGCCTTAGAAATGATGACTGGTCTTCAAAATTCCTGATAAAAAGCACGATTGTTTCCTGCCAGCAGCATTTGATAGCCCATTTCATCAGCAGCATTAAGAATGGTAAGTTTTTATTATTTAATAATTTAAGAGAGGTGAAATAGTATCTGTATTTTAATACGCATTTCCTTTGTTACCAAGGTGCTTGAAAATTTTAAATATGTTTGTTAGACATTTGGATTTTCTCTTCTGTGAATTACCTGTTCAAGCTCTTAGCTTATTTTTCTATAGAGCTCTGGAAATTTTTCTCATAAATTTGTTTGAGCTCGTTTGATATTAAGAATACCAATCCTGCCCTAACCGGTTTGGCTCAGTGGATAGAACATCGGCCTGCAGACTCAAGGGTCCCAGGTTCGATTCCAGTCAAGGGCATGTACCTTGGTTATGGGCACATACCCACTAGGGAGTGTGCAGGAGGCAGCTGATCGATGTTTCTCTCTCACTGATGTTTCTAACTCTCTATCCCTCTCCCTTCCTCTCTGTAAAAACATCAATAAAATATATTTTTTTAAAAAAAGAATACCAATCCATTATCCTATACAATAAAAGGCTAATATGCAAATCGACCAAACAGCAGAACGACAGGTCGCTACGATGCACACTGACCACCAGGTGGCAGATGCTCAATGCTGGAGCTGTCCCCTGGTGGTCAGTGCGCTCCCACAGGGGGAGCACCACTCAGCCAGAAGCTGGGCTCATGGCTGGCAAGTGCAGCGGCAGTGGCAGAAGCCTCTCCCACCTTCGCAGCAGCGCTAAGGATGTCCGACTATCAGCTTAGGGGTGTCCATGGCGAGCAGGCCTAAGCCATCAGTCGGACATCCCCCAAGGGCTCCCGGACTGCAAGAGGGCACAGGCCAGGCTGAGGGACCTCCCCCCCCTGCCAGTGCACAAATTTTGTGCACCGGGCCCCTAGTAAGTTATAATTGAGAAAAATATTTCTCAGATCTTTCTAATGTACAGGGTTTTAGGCTGCATGTGATCAATCTATTTATATTTTTGCGTTATTCCCTCTACTGCTTTTATTTTGGAAAGTTCTTTCCCACATAATCATTACATTCATGTGGAGACCCCTGCTATGCAGATCTTTCATATTTTCGTTTTCTTGATTAACTGCCATCGAGTCCCTAGGGCCTGTTTGAACCCGTGGTGCGATTCCCGAGCTCTGGCAGCTCCGAGCCCAGAGAGGAATCGTAGACTCAGAACCAGAGCCGGGGGGGAGATCTGGGCAGATGGCAGAAGACACTTCCTGAGTCTCCTATGGAACCTAACAGCCTGCCGTCACATAAAACTGGTTTCCTTGGTGGAATTATGGGCTGCTGTGAATAAATATGAGTGTATATTTTTATGAGGGGAAAATTCTATAACATAAAGTTACCTTGAAATCCCAGTGCCTTTCATGTAGCCACAGGCACCTCAGGGCCACAGTGTGTGTGTGGTGGGGGGCGGGGGAAGTTGGGGAGGGGAACGGGGTGGGACATGCATCCTTATAATCTGAGAGGAGATTTTTCTTGGGAAATAGAAAGGAGGTGGTGGGGGAAAGGGCGTCAGGAGGGGGTGGGTATTTTCCCTTTTTGCTGGAGTGGAGCTGGGTGAGTGCTGAGAACAATTCAGGAAGCCTTTGAGAGGGAAAAACAGAACTTGGGGCTTTGGGGGCGTTCCAGAATAGGGCTCTTCTGTACACTTTCCAAATGAACATTCCAAACCAAAGACTTTAACTAATATTCATTGTAGAGCAAACCAGAACATCTCAAAGTCTTAACTCTCCTTTCAGTTCCACATATATTATTTTTTAACTATATATATATATATATATATATATATATATATATACACATATATATTCACATATATATTAAATATATACATATTTAATATATCTTTTTTAAAATATATTTTTATTGATTTCAGAGAGGAAGGGAGAGGGAGAGAGAGAGAGAAAGAAACATCAATGATGAGAGAGAATCATTGATAGGCTGCCTCCTGCACGCCCCCCACTGGGGATCGAGCCCGAAACCCGGGCATGTGCCCTTGACCCGAATAGAACCCTTCAGTCTGCAGGCCGATGCTCTGTCCACTGAGCCACATGCATTCATTGTTGTTTCCTGGTAGTTGACTGACAGCAAGTGTATTGCTAATGACACCTCCTCCACTGTGGTCTCCACACCCACGCAGGGGACGTGCACTCTGCGAGACAGCGGGTGACAGACGCACATCTGCAGACGAGCTGTCTCTGCTCACAGGACACTGTCACAGCCAAGATCGAGAACCTGTGACAAGCGGAATCACTGCTCCCTCTCGGGTGCTCACGGGAAGAGGTGCGCACTGCGAGACCGGCATAAGTCCAGGCAGATTTCCAAAAGCGTCTCAAGATCCATCTTATTCAAAATGACCTTATCTTGTCACTGACAATGCCGTGAGAATGATTTCATGTCCAGCTTCACTGTCCTGGTACATAGAGGGGAGAGCTGTCATCGGTGGCTGGCCAGGATCTCATGAAAACCACATGTGGAAGTTCTCTACACTGTGGTAGCATTGTGTGTGTGTGTGTGTGTGTATACGTGTGTGTGTGTATGCATGTGCATGTGTCTGCGTGTGTGAGTGTGTGCACGTGCGTGTGCATGTGTGTGCGTGTGTGTACGTGTGTGTATACGTGTGTGCGTGCGTGCATGTGCATGTGTCTGCGTGTGTGTACACGTGCGTATGTGTGTGAGTGTGTGTACGTGTGTGTGCGTGCGTGCGCATGTGTGTGTACGTGTGTGTACGTGTGTGCGTGCGTGCATGTGCATGTGTCTGCGTGTGTGTACACGTGCGTACGTGTGTGGGCCATTCATAGCATTGTGTGCATGCGTACGTGTGTGAGTGTGTGTATGTGCATGTGTGTACGTGTGTGTGTGTGCGTGTGTGTACGTGTGTGTGCGTGCGTGCGTGTGTGTGCGTGTGTGTACGTGTGTGTGTGTGTGTGTGTGTGTGTGTGTGGAGAGTGATCCTCACTTGCTGCCAGGGGACTGCCTGGCCTCGCCCCCGTGAGAGGCGTGTGGGTGCCTCGGTGTGACAGGGGCCGCATCTGTCAGGCAGGACTCGCATCCTCTGGGAGCGCAGGGTCGGCCACCTGCAGCAGAGGCGGGATTGCTCTGCTTGGGCCACAGACAGTCCCTCACAGCGTCAGGCCTGGAAGCACAGCTGAGAGAAGCTTGTCCTCCAGGTCTCCTAGCCTCCTGACCCTCCTCCTAGACCGGTGACGGCGAACCTTTTGAGCTCGGCGTGTCAGCATTTTGAAAAACCCTAACTTAACTCTGGTGCCGTGTCACATACAGAAATTTTCTGATCTTTGCAACCATAGTAAAACAAAGACTTATATTTTTGATATTTATTTTATATATTTAAATGCCATTTAACAAAGAAAAATCAACCAAAAAAAATGAGTTCGTGTGTCCCCTCTGACACGTGTGTCATGGGTTCGCCATCACTGTCCCAGCCCTTACTCAATTCCTTTCGGCTTAAACTAGAACCAGTGCAGTGAACACGAAAGCCGTCTGTGATAACTAAGAACAGAACTTGCTTAAGAGCCATCGTTCTGAGAATGAACTGCCATCACGCAGAATGCTATTAGCTACTGCTTACTGAACAGTCACCGTGCCCCACACCTGTGCTGATTACTCCGCCTGCAGCAGCTGGTGTAATCCTGGAACCAGCTGCACAAGCAGGTACTGCCGCTGTGTGCACTGTACTAACAAGCACACGGAGGCGTGGACTGGTGAGGGGACGTGCCCGCGGTCACACAGGGGCCGGAACCCTGGCAGGGTGGCTCTGGAGCCTGCCCTCCTCAGCTCCCTGCCACACCGCGTGACCCCAGCTCTACTGATAACAGCTTACTTCTTTGTGATTTATCAGCGTCTCTTAAAAGCACAAAATTTCATTTATCTAATACATATAAGCTGTGAGATTCTGGGTAAGATATTTTTATTACAGTAAAACATCATAACCTCAATTTTCATGAATTATTTAAAAGCCCCACACAAGTAGCAGATAGATACACATAACAGCTTATCTCAAGTAACCAGATTAAAAAAAAATAATCATAATTTTACTTCTGGCAACGGCATGACCAACTCCGTAGCGATGTGATCTCAGACCTGTCATTGAAGCTGGGAGGACCTGCGTTTCCTTGTAGAATAAAAATCTCATCATCTATCTGATCTATACTGTAGGCGAAATGGATCATGACATAGGTCTGGTGCAAGGATTAACGTGAGGATGTATGTAACGGTCCCTTCCAGAAGCGTGTATAAGTCACAGATTTTACTGTGATCAACTGCATCGTGACGGGCAGTTAGAATGCTTTGTCGTAGCTCAATCCATTGAAATCCCACCAGAACCCTGAGACAGAGAGGAAATATTACCACCTTTTATAGAGGAGACCGGAATGTAAAGAAGTCCCAGGACTCATCCCAGGTCTCGCAGCCCATCAGAGTGGAGAGGGCCAGCTCGGTGTCTGGCTCCCCACTTTGCCAGGATACGTCACTCATTCCTTTCAGGAAGGAAAAGGTACCTTTTACCCCAACATCCGCTCTCATTACGGGAAGGTGTCCGGGGATCGCAGCCTGGGGGGTGTTCCGCGTGTTCCCAACGCGCTGGTGGGAGCAGCCACTCACCTTCTTGACCTCGTACTTGATGGCCAGCTTGACGCGGCTCAGCGAGGCCTTGTGCTTGGGCGCCTCCGCCGCCTCCGCCGACTCCAGGTCTCCGTTCAGGATGGCCTCCACCTCCTCCGAGTCCCGGCACAGGTCCAGCACTCCCACCACGAAGTCTTTGCACTGCATGGACAGCTTCCGGTAGTCGTTCTGGGAAGGAGAGGTTTGGTGTTTAATGCAGAGAACTTGCTCTGAGTCCCTGGGAAGGGTGTAGGGTCCTCTGTGCACGAGGAGAAGACATGCCTTCCTCTGGTCGGAGGCTGCGCCCTCCCCCCCCCCCCCACAGGGATGCGAGTTGGACTCGCCCCCACCCGCCCGCAGCCAGGGACCTCCTTGGACCTGCCCGGCCATGCGGTCACCCCCGACAGCGCTGCGCACAGCAGTCCCTGCTTTTATTACGAGATGTTGCCTAGATGCTGATGCTGAAGGGACAAAGCGTCAGAAAGAGCCGCATCTCTCTCTGGTGCAGGCACATGACTGTTTTCTTAAAGCCCAAGCAAAACCATTTCTATAATGAAAAAACATTTTTACACCAGTTATTTTATTCTACTCATTTTTAGTTGAGGTACAACAAAAAAATTCTTTTAAATGGGGATTTTCCTAAAGTGGCGATTTGACATGGAAGATGGAGCACGGGCGGAAATAGCGTGTCCAGGCCACTATCTCCTGCCGTGGTGGCGACGCGGCTGCTCCAAGTGCAGTCAGGCCTCACCCAGCGGCCTCAACGCGCCTGTGCCAGGACGGCCGTTCCCACCAGCCCCGAGGCCCTGATGTGTTTCTGACCCACGTCATCTCCAGGATTGACTGGCGTGCAGGGCGTGTGGGGAAGGACAGGTGCCAGCAGAGAGGGGGTTTCCCCTGGTTGGTCTGCAGGGCACGTGCCCACGTCCGGGGGAAGACAAGTGTCTGATTTATAGTCACTGAAGTCCCAAGGGGTGCAGAGTACCCCTACCTGAGAGGGAAGATCCCAGGCCACTGGAACGAACGCCTCGCTAGAAACGACCTGCGAACCCCTCCTTCCATTCGCATGTGTGTGTGGCGATGGACTGGTATGAGGAAGTCAGCGGGCAACCTCCCCTGTTACCTCCTGACTGCAGCTCTATTTCTCGTCCTTTGGTTCCTGTCAAGGTGTCAATGACCATCGTAGGAAAGTGTCTCACTTCCGGAACCCCAGTTCCACCGCTACGGCTCTCAATAAAATGACAGCCCGTTAAGAAAGTTAGCCAGATGATCATCTAAAGTGGTGCGCTTGCGGAAAGTGGATTCCTCATTTCGATATGTCCGGAGACACTGTGTGTCTACTAACTAAGCAATACTTTGCGCAGCAGAATTTCCTAATTCTGGGCTTCTGAAAATCATACCTTAAAAAAAGGCATGATGCCGAAACCGGTTTGGCTCAGTGGATAGAGCGTCGGCCTGCGGACTGAAAGGTCCCAGGTTCGATTCCGGTCAAGGGCATGTACCTGGGTTGCGGGCACATCCCCAGTAGGAGATGTGCAGGAGGCAGCTGATCGATGTTCCTCTCTCATCGATGTTTCTAACTCTCTATCTCTCTCCCTTCCTCTCTGTAAAAAATCAATAAAATATATTTAAAAAAAAAAAAAGGCATGGCCCTGGCTGGTTTGGCTCAGTAGATAGAGCCTTAGCCTGGGAACTGAAGGGGCCCGGGTTTGATTCTGGTCAAGGGCACATGCCTGGATTGTGGGCTCGATCCCCAGGAGGGGGCATGTAGGAGGCAGCTGATCAATAATCCTTTCTCGTCATTTATGTTTCTCTCCTTCTCTCTCTCTCTCTCTCTCTCTCTCTCTCTCTCTCTCCCTTTCTCTCTGGAATCAATAAAAATATACTTTAAAAAAAAAGGCACGAGGGCCCAGCTGGCATGGCTCAGTGATTGAGCATTGACCTATGAGCCAGGAGGTAATGGTTCGATTCCCGGTCAGGACACATGCCCAGGTTGTGAGCTCGATCCCCAGTGTGGGGTGTGCAGAAGGCAGCTGATCAATGATTCTCTCTCATCATTGATGTTTCTATCTCTCTCTCCCTCTCCTTACCTCTCTGACATCAATAAAATATTACTTTAAAAAAGGTATTCTAATTTCATTTTTTAAAAAGGCATGAGGAATTCCACTTTTCCCTCCTTAAATAATTAATTTATATGATGTGATGGGCAAAAATCACATCACCAACCAAAATAAACAAGAGGAGAGAATGTGTAGAGGCTACCCAGACTGGAGGAGTTTCCATTTCAGACATCAGAAATCCAGCTAAAGGACAGTTACACTTAATCCTCTTCCTCTCACAAGGGAACAGATAAAATGAACAAAAACTTCAATCTTTGGTTTCCATTCAAATTGGGACCAGGCAACTGATAAAATTAATAAAATGTTCAGCCGCTGGTTTCTGTGCGGAGTGTCTTCCTTCCATGCTTGGAAGACTAATGAAATATTTTATTATAGCATCCAGAAGTATTAAATCCATGTCTGTTTCCATAGAAAGCTCCCCTTTTAATACAATTTTTTAGATGAAATTTCCTCATGTGCCTCTTCAGTTCAGACTGTTCTATAAGACTTGGTACAACATAGGACGGCCATTGCTCCATTGAGCAGAAATAAGAGAGACTACTAACTATGCTGGACGGAAATGTGGGAACCGCTGCTGCAGTAACACCTAAATAATGACTCGTTACCTTACGACATTGCCGTCTGTGAATTGCCCCGTCCTAAAGAAAGCCATGTGGGGTGCTCACGGCCACTGAAAGATCAGTCACCCACGTGGCCAGGACAACACTCTGTTTTCATAACTACGGAAACCTTTCCTGGGGGAGGAGTCTGCTCCCCCAGCACAGAAAGCACTCAGAGATGGAGATAATGGGCGTTTCTTTCACTGTGGTCATGGGGTGGCACTTGTCATTATTTGCAGGGCTCGCCGGGAACACGGGGGTACAGACCGCCCTTCCCGGGTGCAAAAGGAACCGTCTACAGCGGCACCAACCACCAGGAGGTCCTGCCTCGTGTTCCTCACCGGGACCATTTGTCTGCTCTGCATTTCCTGGTAATTTCCCCCTAATTTAGTTTTGCTTAATCGTCTTCATAAGCCACTCATCCATCACCTGGGCCTGCCACAAAGTTATGGGATGGACCTGCTGCCACCTTGGCAGAGCAGGAACTCAAAAGCCCAAGGACCACCCTGGCCGGTGGCTTAGTTGGTTGGAGCATCGTGCCATCCACCAAAGGGGTTCGGGCTCTATCCCCAGTCGGGGTACGTCCAGGAGGCAACCAATCGATGTTTCTCTCTCTCACTCTCCCTTCCTCTCTCTCTAAAATCAATAAAAACATATCCTTGGGTGAAGGCAATTAAACAAACACGCCCAAGGCCCTGCACAAGCCAGAGGAAGCACAATGGAGCTCCACCGTCATCACGCCCTGTCTACAGGTCTCAGCACTCAGATCAACGCTTACTCAGCATTCTAATTCTCTTCTACCCTTTTTCAAAATCCCTTTTATCCTTAAGAGGAAAACGGAAATTCAATTCTAAGTAGGCTGGGCCCTGTCCAATCCTTTCCCTAGTAACAAAGAGAGGGTAGTGGTTGAAGCATCCATCTGAAGCCAGACTTCCTGGTTCAAATACTGCTTCTAGCACTCACTGCTGTATGATCTTGGGAAGTGACTCAGCCTCTCTGATGAGAATAAGCCTACCCAATAGTGCTACTGTGAGGCCTAAATGCCCAGTGTGCTTAGTGCACATCAAGTGCTACAGAAGCTTCGGTACTGCCACGTGCAGCATGTGGGACAGAATACTGAGGCTGGATCCACGACTCCCACTCTGGGCCTGGCAGACGGAACCTTGGCCATCGGCCTTGTTTCCTCTGTACGATGAGAGGTCTGTCTATTCAGATGATTCCTAGAACCTCTTCCTGCTGTAAAATGCTACCTTGCTCCAGGATTATATTCATTCTCCTCTTCCCGGCAGCCCTGCTGTGGGAATAGTTGAAATTGCTCTTCTGCATTAAAGAGCGGAAAACGGAGGCACAGGGAGGGCAAAAGGCTTTTTTTTCCTTTTTTCAAAAATGTGCACCTCTGACTCAGCATTAGGACATTCCACTCTGGTTCCCACAGCTTAACAAATGACCAGCCTGCTTGCCGCTGATACGCGGAGGATTAGACCTGGAGGCCATCCTGTCCAGGACCCTGTCCCCAGGAACAGCTCCAGCAGCATTTGCACACCCCAAATACGCTCGTAATAGCCTGTCACCACGCCGTCCTCCCTTCATTTATCTTCATCTATATCCGAGCGGGGCCGGCCTCCTGGGGTAATGATCTTCACGTGTTTTGGGCACCAGGCTTCCTGCATGCTTCAAGGACAGCGGTTCTCAACCTGTGGGTCGTGACCCCTTTGGGGGTCGAACGACCCTTTCACAGGGGTCGCCTAAGACCATCGGAAAACACATATGTAATTACATATTGTTTTTGTGATTAATCACTATGCTTTAGTTATGTTCAATTTGTAACAATGAAAATACATCCTGCATATCAGATATTTACATGACGATTCATAACAGTAGCAAGATTATAGTTATGAAGTAGCAACGAAAATAATGTTATGGTTGGGGGTCACCACAGCATGAGGAGCTGTATGAAAGGGCCGCGGCATTAGGAAGGTTGAGAACCGCTGTTCAAGGAGCTTTGGAAACTGCCAAGTGGCTGGGCACCTCCTGTCGAGCACCCGGGTGACGGCGATGTGAGGGCGAGAGGCTCGGTCTCCCGGGCCATTCAGAGGGTGAAACCAGGACAGGTGCCTGCAAAGGGAAAGCCGCCTCTTTTTCGCGAGGCAGCACATTGTCTATTTTTTCATTTCAAAGCAGGTACTTTGAGCTCAGAGTCTCTGTGGAAAGAACACAGAGGACACCACGAAACAGGGCAAACGAGGTGAGCTGCCTGCCTCCGCCACGAGCGCCACTCCGCCACCCTTCCAGCCGAGTCCTGGGTCAGAGCGGTGAGGGCTGTTTCCTCCGTCTAAGGCCCTGACAGATGGACATGAGTGTGGGGCAGGAGGGCAAGAAGGGGAGGGGAGGGCAGGTAACCAGGCAACAGTAGGACAGGTAAGAATAGGGAGAAAAGGATATGCAATCAGGGGAGGGGACTTGTGGTCCCTGGACACCATGACTCAGAGAAGGCTACGCCCCCAAGGGCTTTCCATAGAATTCAGATCGAGGGACAGTGAGATTTAGATGATTTCCGCACGTTCTTAGATATCTGGCAGCTTTTATGCATGCCCTCTTAAACTCAATTGTGTTCGTTCTCTCTCTCTCTCCGCCCCCCTCCCCACCCCTTTTACTTGCAATATTTCCCTACCTTTGAAAGGTTATCAGAGGTGACTCTGTGGTCACAGTGAAGAGGAGTCTAAGTATTATCAATATAGACTTAGCCAGCTTCAGGGGAAAACAAAAAATGACAGACTTTTCAATCACGGCTCTACTGAGACAACTTCTCCGGGCAGAACTGCATACATCATCATCTTCTGCAAATTATTCAAACATATTCCCTTTTGTAGAAGCTCCTTTACAGACTGTCGATATATAACAAGCAAAATGCATTAAAAAAGGTTGAGTGATATTTGAAAGTGGCAAACAAACTTAGAATTATATTTTTATTACTATGCCAAAATAAAGAAATGATATTTAGAACTATTTTACCTGAATGTTTTTCTATTCTTTCTAAAGAGATTTGAGGCTTTCCATTTGTTCTGAGTTCCGTTTAAACACAAATTTATTTAGGGCCCAAGGAAATGAGTCTTTCAAATGTTATATAACGAATCTCCTCAAAGGGACTAGATATAAGGTAAATGTTTATTTTATTCTTTGTATTCTCGCACATTTTCCAAAACTTTTATAATAAATGTGTAGCTTTCCTATCAGAAAAATATTTTAATGGAATAACAAATAAAATTATCCTACAGCCAGAGCTCCACCAGCACAAGATAGGGTTGACCGATAAGGAGGAATGGAAAGGGAAAAAGGCCCACAAAACTTTCCATTTTCTTGCAACCCCTTGGCCTGAATTATATTGCAAGTTGCATTTGTGTAAATCTCACTTAAGCATGAAAAAATGTAATAAGATCTGGAAGACAGAATAACCACTCTTCCTCAATCTGCTCTCACCCCTAACGCACTGTCCTTTCCCCCAGGTTAATAGGTAGGTCCATCCAAACGCCCAGGAGGATGGAGCAATTGATGAACAGTAACGATGTTCTCCATTAATGTCTACTTTTTATAAAAATGAATAACACTGGAAGGCTGGGGAGTACTGGGGGGCGGGGGTAAGAGATCAATGGAAGGACTTGTATGCATGCACATAAGCATAACCAATGGACACGAGACACTGGGGGGGGTCGGTGAGGGCATGTGCCAGGGGGCAGGGAAGGCCGGGGGAAGGTCAACGGGGAAAAAAAAGGAGACATATGTATATACTACTACTTGTAATACTTTAAACAAGAAAATAAAATAAAATAAAGAATAACACTGATTGATTGGAGATGATGTCCAGAACCAAAAAAAAAATCTATTAAAGCAAAACGCTGGCCCGCCCTCGCATTTCTGGTTGCCCTGCTGTCTGAGGTCCACATTCGCCAGGCTGGACACACACTTGTGGGTTCGGGGAGAGGCATTCTGGACAGATTAATGAAATGACTCTGGCAGCACTGAGATTAGCCTTTGACTTTCAATCTAAATGTTTGGGCCGATAAGCAGTGAACTCACCCTATTTGCACGCTGGGTCCCACCGTACAACTAACGACAAAAGAGGGGAAAGGGTTTGGAAGGGAGACAGGCTCGCCGAATCCCTCCTTTTGACAAAAGCGGACCTAATGGTTCTCCAGACAAATTCTAGTTCTCGGATCCAGCCTATCCCAGCCCAGAGAACAAGTTTTCCACAGCGCCACGCCGAGCAGGGAAAGCATCGGATCCCTTCTGAACGTCGCTCCCGACCCCCTGGTGACTTAAATCCCCGGGGCCACACCGGTTTGGGAGCACAGCCCGGCAGGCGCCCGGCAGGCAGCGGCCGCGCGCGGCGCCCAGCTTACCTTGAACTCCTTCTCGATGTTGGCCAGCTTGGCCAGCTCGTTGCTGAGCTCCAGGGCGGTGAGCACGGGGTCCTCGCTGGACAGGGACAGGTAGGCCGGGCTGGCCAGCCCGCGTAGGCGTTGATGCGCGAGCGCGAGTGGCTGAAGGCGTCGCGCCGCTGCTTGTCGGCGCAGTCGCCGCACTTGCAGAAGTAGTCGTGCGGCCGCTCGATGCGCCGCGCCGCGCCGCAGCAGCATGTGCACCACCTCGTACTTGTGGCAGTGCGCCGCCAGGATGACCGGCGTGATGTCGGGCGAGAAGCGCGTGCCGTCCTCGTCGTAGGCGTAGAAGTCGTCGTCCTGCAGCTCCTGCTCGCAGGGGCTGAGCGTCAGGCGCCCGCTGGCCGCGAAGCCCGGGTGGTTGAGCAGGGCCTCCACGATGCGCACGTAGCCCTTGCTGATGGCCAGCAGCAGCGCGTCGCCGATGCGCGCCAGGTTCTCCTTCTTGAGCAGCAGCTCCGTCACCTCCAGGTGCTCGTTGCCCACGGCCAGCTGCAGCGCGTTCTGGCCCATGTAGTCCACGCAGTTGACGTTGAGCGTGCGGGACTCCTCCAGCATCTTGCGCACCACCGGGATGTTGCCGTACTCGGCCGCGTCCAGGAAGCGCTCCTCCTCGGCCGTCAGGCTGGTGCCGCGGTCGTTGAACATGAAGGCCGGGCCCCGCACGGCCTGGCGCCGGCCCTTCTCCCGCATCACGGTCTTGCGCCGCAGGGATGGGCTTTCATCCATGGACCTGAGCGGCGGCAAAGGAAACAGAGCTGTAGCGCAGCGGGGCCAATGGCTCCCTCCAGGCGCCGGGCCCTGCGGGCAGCCGCCGCGCCCGGGGCCGCGCTAATGCGCCCCCGAGATGCACACCTGTCCCCGGGCGGCCTGAACCGGGGAGCAGCCGCCAGCCCCGCCGACAAGAACTCCTTCCCACAGACACGGCTGCAGAAGGGGCAGTGACAGAAACACTTGCCAGGCACCGCGCCGCCCTGCGCCCCTGGCTGAGCTGGACTCGGGGACCTGTGGAAATAGCCTTATCCTGCCCAGCGGCCTGGAAATACAGGCTAAGGTGCCTGAGGGCGGGAGAAAGTACGTTTCTCAAGACGTAGGCCAGAACCTGCTCTCAGTCATGCACATTTTTTTCTTTATTGACTAAGGTATTACATATGTGTCCTTATCTCTCCATTGCCCCCCACACCCCACCCCCCACCCCCACTCATGCCCTCACCCCCCTGGTGTCCGTGTCCATTGGTTATGCTTATATGCATGCATACAAGTCCTTTGGCTGGTCTCTCCCCCTTACCCCCACCCTCCCCTACTTTCCCTCTGAGGTTTGACGGTCTGATCGATGCTTCTCTGTCTCTGGATCATTGCCCATTTTTAACTAAATACAATAATTGATTAAAAAGGAAAAAAAGAAAAATCTCAGAATTTAGGCCAAGTGTCATCTTTCAGGATCTTAGGGTATCCTGCCACCCCGCCCCTGACCCCCAAAAAACCTTATAAGATTTTTTCAATGATACAGACAAGATTTATCAATTATAAAGTTAGAGCATCAATCTAGATATATGTTATTGAAAATAATTGTGCCTTTATAACGAGGTGCTTAATTACCAATATTATATACTAGTAGTTGCCTCTCTGAACTAAAAGCCTATGGTACGTTATGGTATAAAAATCACTTGCATTGCTTGTGAATAAAGCCCCTGACACTAATGCACATCCCGGGCCGCGTGCACCGGCCCTAACACCCACCACATGGCTGTCAGCTGCCCTACAGTCACGCTAGCGACCCACGTGCAGCGACTGGAGTTCGCGTTCCAGTTGCTGTGGTGCTGGGCAGAGAACTTCCCCTCCCTGGGCCTCCCTGCCCAGGGCTCACAGGGACTGTTACAAAGCATTTCGGGTTGTCCTCCTGAGCTCATGAGGAAAAAAGCTTTTTTAGAAGTTCAGAGCCTCTGAATATCATTTTTAACATTTCAATGGTTATTATAAGTACAAACCTGTATCTTTACCTTTACCCAGTTCTAATATTCTTGCTGATTGAAGTGCTTAATATAACTTCCTTTTTAAAAAAAAGTCTGTGATTTTTTTTTTGTTGTGTGTGTGTGTGTGAGAGAGAGAGAGAGAGAGAGAGAGAGAGAGAGAGAGAGAGTTACACCACCAGAGGTACCAGATAAAGCTCTTTTCACATTACCAACTTCTGAAGCAAATATGAGTGACGAGTTAAAAGTGAATGGCTGGGGGGGGGGGCTCTTTCCTTCCACAACATGTGTTCCCGAAATACCTCCTACTATTGACAAGACAGTATTCGCAGGGTCAGGAGTTGAACACCAACTAGAGAGGACACTGGCCTCCCCGGCGGCTGGAGGGGGACACTGGGCGCATCTCCAGCCGGACAGAGGCGGTGACACCCTCCATTCAGCGCTCAGTCTGCGGCCTCAACCAAGGGCCGGGCTCAGAGGCCACCGCAGAGGTTTCCAGACAGAGAGCAAGGGCCGGGGCCAGGCACACCGGCTCGGCAGACTGAGGAAAGCAGAGGTCCCAGAGAGGCTTGTTAGCTAGTCCAGGGCAGAGAGGGCTGTGCCTGGCCACCATTCTAACAGCTCAACTAGTGTTGGGTGAGCAACCTTAAAAATTAAACATAGTATTTATATACAGGGTGGGGCAAAAGCTGTTCAGATGAAAAATAATACAACAATTAATAAATAATAATACAAGAATAAACTGTTTTATGTCCTCGCAACTGTAAACCTACTTTTGCCCCACCCTGTAAACACACACACACACACACACACACACACACACATGCTGTATGTACACATATCTATGCACACATACAAATGTATTTTCTGCAATTTCTAGAAAGCAACTGAAGACTCTTGGGGACTGGAACTGAGTATTCACAGGGGAAGGGAGATTTTTACTTTTTACTTACAGCCTTTAACGCATTTTGAATAGTTTTAACCACAGTTTGAATATTTTTACTAAAAAATAAAATTCATGTTTTCAATTTTTATTTATTTTAATCCCTTAGGTACTTATTGGCAATCATTGCAGTGAATCTTTCTGAAGCGAAATAAAGGCCCTATGTTTGACTATTATTCGTGGGGTATGGATGTGCAGTGTGTAGGATAGTGTGTAGTGACGGGTGTGTGTGTGCTGTGTGTACATCTGTGTGTGTCTGTGTGCTGGTATGATGATTTTTAAGTGGGAAACGGCATTCACTGAGCTGCCCAGAAGAGAACTGTGTTTCATGACCAAACTCAATGACAAGGGTTTTAAACAAATCCCATAAATGTTGTCAGTGTAAAAGTGAGCATGTTTTCTTATTATTAACTAGTGACCCAGTGCACGGATTCATGCACATTGAAAGGAAATTAATTAGAAGGTGGCTGGTGGTGTGGAACTGGGTGACACACCCTGGAGCCAACCTCCCGAGGTCCCTCCCCAGCCGGCCATACCTGGGGTGGTGCTGTGGCTTGAAGGGCGTCTGTGGAGTGAATGGGGTCCCTCCGGCAGGTGCGGTCCCTCGGCCTGGCCTATGGGGATCGGGCCTAAACCAGCTCTCCGACATCCCCCAAGGGGTCCCAGAGTGCGAGAGGGCACTCTGCAAAGTTGCTGTTGTACAGGGTGTGGAATGCAAATGCAAGTGTGCAGTAAACCAGATTCGGGGCCAACAGTGCCCCAGCAACAACATAACCAATGGCTGAAGGTGGAATCACGCAGCCCCGTGAGGAATCGGGCTCCCTCCTCTATGGTTTCAGGGTGCGTCACCTGAGAACCGCTGCTGCCAAGTCATTGCAGCTCGGCAGCTCCTGCATTGAGTGTCTGCCCCCTGGTGGTCGGTGTGCATCATAGCTACCGGTCAGACAGACACTTAGCATATTAGCCTTTTATATATATAGACTAGAGGCCCGATGCACAAAATTTGTGCAAGGGGCTCGGCCCTAGCAGCCCTCGCAGCCCTGGCTTTGTCCGGAAGGTCATCCGGAAGGATGTCAGGAAGATCATTTGGCTGTCCAGTCTAATTAGCATATTATGCTTTTATTATTATAGACTAGAGGCCCGGTGCACAAAAATTTGTGCACTGGGGGGGGGGTGCCCCAGCCCGGCCTGTGCCCTCTCGCAGTCTGGGACCCCTCGGGAGATAACGACCTGCTGGCTTAGGCCTGCTCCTGGGTGCCAGAGGGCAGGCCCAATCCCTAGGTGCAGCCCCTGGTCGGGCTCAGAGCAGGGCTGATTGGGGAGTTGGGGCACCGCCCCCTGTCATGCACAGAGCAGGGCAGATTGGGAGGTTGTGATGCCACCCTCAGTCATGCTCAGGGTAGGGCCGATTGGGGGGTTGGGGCACCGCCCCCTGTCACACTCAAGGCAGGGTGGATGGGGAGGTTGCGGCGCCACCCCCTGTCACGCACAGAGCAGGGCCCATCAGGGTGTTGGGGCTCCGTACCCTGTCACGCACAGAGCAGGGCCGATCAGGGGGTTGAGGAGCTCCCCGCTGTCACTCACAGAGTAGGGCCGATAGGGGAGTTGGGGCACCACCCCCTGTCACACACAGAGCAGGGCGGATCAGGGGGTTTGGGTGCTGCACCCTGTCACACTCAGGGCAGGGCCAATGGGGAGGTTATGGCTCTACCCTGTCACACACAGAGCAAGGCCCGTGGAGGGGGGCTGGGGTGCCACCCTCTATCACCCACAGAGCAGGGCCGATCAGTGGGTTGGGGCGCCGCCACTGTCACACTCGGGCAGGGCTGATGGAGAGGTTATGGCTCTACCCTGTCACACATAGAGCAGGGCCAATCAGGGGGTTGGTGCACTGCACCCTGTCAAACACAGAGCTGCAGGGCAATCAGGGGATTGGGGAGCTCCCCCCTATCAGGCACAGAGCAGGGCAGATAGGGAGGTTGTGGCCCCGCCCCTGTCACACACAGAGCCACAGGGCGATCAGGGGGTTTGGGCGCTGCCCCCTGTCACGCTGATCCCGGTGCCGGGAGCCTCACGGCTCCGCTGATCCTGGTGCTGGGAGGCATATTACCCTTTTACTATATAAAATAGAGGCCTGGTGCACGGGTGGGGGCCGGCTGGTTTGCCCTGAAAGGTGTCCTGGATCAGGGTGGGGGTCCCCACTGGGGTTCCTGGCCAGTCTGGGTGAGGGGCTGAGGGCTGTTTTCCGGAAGTGAGTGACTGAAGCTTCCAACCGCTCCTTGTTTTCTTTTTTTTTTTTATTCTGGGCCAGCTTTAGCTCTGAGGCCTCGCTGCTGAAAACATCGATACAATGTTGCTAAAGCCCGGCTGAATGAAAGCTGGTTTCTGGGGTTTTGTTTAGCTTATTATTTGCAACATAGTACATAGTTGCTTAGAGTTGTAGCTCAGAGGACGGCAGCGCAGGCGGGGAACGTTGGAGTCCTCCTTCACTGCAGCAAGCAAGCCTCATGTTCACTTCTAGCTGCCTGGCTGCCGGCCGCCATCTTGGCTGACAGTTAATTTGCATATACTCACTGATTAGCCAATGAAAAGGGTAGCGGTTGTACTCTAATTACCATGTTTCTCTTTTATTAGTGTAGATAGTATGGACTTCATTGGTTAATATTTTTAGCATTAAGCTATACACCAGTACTCTTCAAATGGCTAGAATTTCCATATTGTGTAAAAGATGGATTTTGTACTTACCATTGATATGTTGACATTATCTATAACTACAGAATATATATACAGTGTATATGCCTGCAATTTCAATCTAA